AAACAAGAGCTTTTGGCTATTGTGACGGCACTCACTCATTTTAAGGACTATCTATATGGCACGCACTTTAACGTGCTATGTGATCAGAAGTCACTGCAACACCTAAAGGACATGAAACCTAACTCACAGTTAATCAGTCGGTGGCATGACACGATCGCGAAGTTTTTATCGGCATAGTACACATACCGGGTATTCACAATCACTTACCCGACATGTTGTCTCGCTTCGTACCAGACTTTAACAAGATGGTTAGGCAATTACTAGCTACGGATTGGATGGCCAATCCTAGGTGGTTTGAGATCGCTGACAACATACATGGACCATATACCATAGATATGTTTGCCGCTCATCATAGTGCGCAACTGCCGAGGTACCGGACACTGGAACATCCGGAAGGAGACGGATTCAAGATAGACTTGTCTAACGAGAATGCCTGGGCAAATCCTCCATGGCTATTAATGCCACAGTTGCTAAATTATGTACATATTCAAGATGCTACCATCATGTTGTGTTGTCCCCTAAGACACTCTGATAAATTGCTACCACAGTTGATCTCAATGATACAATGTGAGCCGATCTATGTGAATAGAGGTAGATACTTTTCTCTACCAGGGTACCCGTGTAGTCCAAAAGACGCCTTGGCGACACACTATAATATGTCGAATAGGTCCAGTTGGAACAACCAAGTGGACACCATCCGAGACTTTCAAACAGAAGGTTGAGGAATCCAAGATTTCACTTGTGAATCCTAAGTCTCAATCAGAGACTGGGACAGCACAAGCACCTGCAGTATATATTACCGAGATACAGCCAAATTCAAAGGAATCAAAGAGGAGCGTAACACTAGCAAAAGCCTTCTACAAGAAAATACGGCCTGACAGGGAAACTGAATACCAAGCAGAGACTCGATTGCTTAAGCAAATGATGAATGACTTTCCTGAGGTATATGACCATGTGACTCAATTAATGGATAGATCAAACATTGGTCGGATTCACGATGTAGAAGCTTTAAGCGAGATTGGACAAGACGGGTCTTCGAGTCCAGGTGATGACGCGGTGGAATCCTCACCTCCTGATTTCGATGTTACAAGTAGATCACAGGAGGCGATTCTGAAGTGGTTAAGACAAAATCATGCTCTTAAGCACATGGATAAGGTTAGAACTGTGAAAGATTGCAAAAGGTACGGAATCGTACACCCAAACCTCAAGCAATATATCTCAGGTGTATCACGAATGTAACGACTGCGAAGTCAACCGGATCAAGCGCTACGGATTCGCACCTTTACGCAGCGTATCAAAAGACGAGCCGTGGCGCCGGGTTATCATTGATTTGGTTGAGCTACCCACGTTCGAACACACGAAGGACAAATATGTCGGTCACGTGTTTGATGTCGCATCAAGATATAATGTATTGTATCCTCTAAAAGACAAATCGACACAAACTGTGGCTGGTGCATCTATAAGTGCATCGCAGATTTCGGCTGGCCCCAGCTATTGTATGTTCCGACAACGGTAGTGAGTTTACAGGAGATGTCATGACGACACTGTTACTCGTTGCGGGATCATGCCATAATATGGGTGTACTTTACAAGCCTCAGACACAAGGTGCGAACGAAGTACGACACAGACAGATGAAGGAGTTCATGCGAGGAGCACTACTTGATGATGCTGACATGTGGCCTTACTCGATCAATTGGGTACAGACACAGATGAGCGAAACCCCTGATTCAGTCAGTGGTACAACACCCGCTCACTATTTCCGGGGCCGTTATAGTGAATTACAGATCCCCTTCAACAAGGAGTCTCAAGATGTTCATATGTTACCATGGTTAGAGAAGACGCGTCGGACCAGAGATGTGGCCTATCCTTGCTTAAGGGAGATGAAGGACATCGCTCTCAAGAAGAGACAGAAGCGATGGAATGATACCAAGAAAATAGTCGAGTTTGAGGTAGGCGATATAGTCAACATTATGGCTCGAAACTCCGATACAACTGTGCTTACGGCTAAATATATTGGACCATTTATGATCTCTGTGGCCGATAAGAAGAGCGGAACGTATGAAGTAAATAACGTTGACGGCTCTAGTGCCTTAAATATCGGGTCACATCGAATCTCTACGACAGAGATCATCCTTCGTCGCACACGTGAAGCTACTACACCTCTTATGTCTTACGAGTTTAAGAAGATTCTCGGGAAGTACAAACATGAGGATATGCCATACTACACTAAGGAGTTCGCCGATGGAGCCCAGTGTGATCTTCCACCATCAGCATTTGATGATCCGGGTGTACTAAAGGCTTTTAATAAGAAGTTTCGCAAACGCTTACACAAAAATGAGGCTGATGCAGAAGCAATCTTACCATCGAATAAGCGACCTGAAGTGGTTAAGATCTATCCACAGAAATCATACATTCCCAGCTTTAAACTGCATGGAATGTACGAACCACAAGGACCAAAGCCCAAACGTAATAGAGTAACCGAGTAACTTATAAAGTCTAAGTATACTTTGTCTATGAGAATATAACATAAGCATTGAGGCCGTTATATGATCGAACCCCGTTTTGTACAATTCATGTGAGCTTTTTGAGTCGATGTGCTAATACCACATATAAGCCAACATTCAAGCTGAGGAGGGGGGGGGGGCTATGTAAAAATAGCGGGTTCCTAATAGTAGTTGCACAATTAACGTATATTATAAACGTACAAATGTATTAACGTTTATACTTTATAAATTCTGGAATACGTTTAACGAATTGGACATGAACAAGAACTGCATAATTCAAGATTTTGAACATGTGACAGTACTCATTAGAGTATGGGACTCTACTGTGAACAATTAGGTGGCTTTCCAAATATAGATTGGTTTTTTCCACTAAAATTAGAATTGTGAATAATATAGGAACGACACCAATCTGACACCTGAAAATGACACTTTGGGAATCTCTAATTAATGGGAGTACCATGAGAGAGGGTCTCAGGCATGAAATGGTTGTTAGTACAAACCTATGGTATAATTCGATAATGATCTCAGTGCAAGATAATCCACTGAGAAAAAGACAGGATCAGAGTTGTTAGAATTTAGGACAACATGGTTCTGATTCCTCCTAGCCAGCCAACTAGATGTGCCCCCGTCTATGCCTTAAGTGGGATGGGGAGCTAGGTACCAAGTGATAGGGTATAGGTGCAGAAGTATACTGCACCAGCTTGGTGTTTTGGTATTATTTTATATTTTCTTAAGTTGGTCTTAGAGGTATTTTATTGGTTAGTTTGATTAGGTGATTGTGTAGAAATACGGCCTCCGGTCAGTCTAAAATATCAAGTTCAAATGAGATAACACGTTGGTTTTTATTTGTATTTGAAATAATTTAATACAAGTTCTTTTTCCAATATTTCCAAAGTGTTCTAAATTCACTTTGATGGCTCTAATAGCCTGAGTATTAGGCATGACTCATTTACTTGGACCTATTTGAGACGATAGTAGATGTAGGATATTATAAACTAAATTTATAATCTCTGAACTACTACTTACAGGTTTTGGTCTTCCCGCCAATCTCCAAAATCTAATAAGTCTTTTTCTTTTTATAACTTTTCTTCAGATGTAACTTTATTTATATTAGCTAATGTATTAACATGACTTACGTTCTTATGTCTATCTACAAATTAGACATGTGGTCTTGAACACTTAGTACTTCTAGCGTAAATTATTCAATAAAGAACAGCTAGAGGTACGTCCTGTGTGATCGAGGATTTTAAGGCTCTTACCAAGAGGCAGTCCCGACCATTCTTACACAAGCTACCATTGCTAAATCCTAACTGACTTAAATTGTATCTTAGAAAATTATCCATCGAAGTTTACAATCGTTTCGAGGCGTGAAATGTAAACCAAGCGTCCAATAAAATGATATCTAGTCTTAGTAACTAAAACAAATATAAATCTAGACCGAAGTAGTGAGTGATTAGAGAGGAGCATATAGACAATAGTCGTAGTCTAAAATCCCCTAATCCCTTAACGTCTAATCCCCTAATCCCCTAATCCCTAATCCCCTAATCCCCCTTAAAATCCCATAACGTTCTAGCGTATTGTCTTATTAACGTAAACGTCTTGGTATCGTATAGTCAGCCTAGAGGAGACCGACTTTAGGGTTTTAGGGTTTTTCTCCTTTCCGTACTTACGAAGCATATACGGGATGTCCTTCAATCGAGCCTTTAAGTAACAATAATTACGTAGCTGCCCCGCGATGAAACAGACCGAAGTAGTGAGTGATTAGAGAGGAGCATATAGACAATAGTCTTAGTCTAAAATCCCCTAATCCCTTAACGTCTAATCCCCTAATCCCCCCTAAAATCCCCTAACGTTCTAGCGTACGTATTGTCTTATTAACGTAAACGTCTTGGTATCGTATAGTCAGCCTAGAGGAGACCGACTTTAGGGTTTTAGGGTTTTTCTCCTTTCCATACTTACGAAGCATATACGGGATGTCCTTCAATCGAGCCTTTAAGTAACAATAATTACGTAGCTGCCCCGCGATGAAACTAGTAGTCATGCCTGACGTATTATGGATCTAATTCAGTGCGTATACAAAGCTTGAGGATCCTATCTGTCATAAACAAATAAAAATACAACGATTTAGATCGGCTACAATTTTTATTTGCATAGAAAATCATTTCTCCAACACGTTACCCAACACGTTACATACTCTTGGTTTGTAAACGGCACGATCAGATATTCTGCCCCCTTCGATTAGATCATACATGTCGTCCTGAACACGTTTTGCATGATGTTTTCCGAACCTATATTCCGGAGTTACGTTGTCGTCGGCGTCGACTACTGCTTCTGTTTGTTGCGTGTCATATGAAGGACTTGATATATGTCGAAATTTAAACCCTAAAAACCTCGAGCACCTCTTTTATGTTCGCAGTGGTTTCAGATTTTATTTGATCGTCATCGTGCATAAACTGAAACAATAGTGCATGCATCGTTCTACGTGTGGTACCACATTTAGTGCGCACAGCTACATCTGCAAATTTGCCTGAGATTCTCAAGTTCATTCTCAGCTTGATTTATGATAAGTTTGTAGAGAAGATTACTTGCTCTCTTGTCTCGACACGAAATTATATCAATCATCCGCCTTGTAAGTCCGTGTACGTGTCCCACCATCGCGTCACGCTTTGCAGTTTCAGTTTGCAATGCCAAGTGAGATATTTGATACATATACGGTTGTACTGGATCACGTTGGTCTGCAAGTTGGTCTTCTATAACCTCTCGTTCTGATTTAGCCACCACGTCAACCTCTGCATCGTCAACTGGTTCTTTTTCGCGGCGCGAGCGTCTGGCCTCCACTTGTTGTGCAGCATACTGTACTCGTTTCCTCTTATTATTTTTCTGACCTTTGTAATTAGTTGTATGGCAACAGCATGTACTGCCCTTACAAGCGTATTCAATGTCGTTACCGCATGGCGTTTCGCATCCAAAGCATCGTTTACACTCATCGCATTGGCCCCTTTTGTGACGGTGTGTTGAAACAGGACAAGGCCAATATGGATCCGGCTGTATTGTAACAGCGCTGATCTCTTCAGCACCAGACATCGGGATGATATTATGACTAAAACACGCTACAATGGCAGCACGGTTCACGTATATCTAGCCCGGCTCATGTATATTTTACAAGTACAATAGTATAAACATGTGTTTTGTCAATTTGTTTTCACACACAATTTTACGTTTTGATGCTATTTTCATGACTCATCGTCTATTTTATGTCTCACTTAGCTTGTTTCTGCCTACAGGTGTCGACTACCTAGTACAGCTAAAAATCTCTTGAACAAAGCTAGCTACGGTATGACTTCCAACGAGAGATCGTTTATAAATGCCTATTCTAGACTTCTCTACATTTTGATTCGTCATAATGTGTGATGCCGGCCTACTACATAATTCCACAAACGTGAATCCATTTTGGGTCATTTGTACCGAAATTAAAAATTTATTTTCACAAAAGTGACTCTTTTATATTAGCAACAGTTTAATATATCGGCATTCTTCACCCCTTTTACGCGCCATTATTGTGACCAACCGTCACGTAGCCTCTCGTAGGTTTATGGTCAGTTTATGGTATTTATTATATTTACTATTGAAACTATTTTTTCAGTACGCCCGACTTTTTTTTCAACCCCCCCCCCCGTTTCTGTGAAATGATCCACCAAGGGCGGAGGGCCAGGAGTCAGACGGCAGGCCAGGGGTATTGGAAAAAAAAAATACGCGCTGAAAGCTAACCTCAAAACGGTTTCCGTTAAAACTTTTATACGTCGAATAAATATACGTTTTCGTTCAACTTTTATTTCATAAGCGGTCTTTTGTATGCTCATAGGTGCAACATTCGGGTCTAAACATTTATATGTATACCATGTTCACGATACGAACCAGTCCTATAGAAGAACTTAGGAAGGCCCTTCTGATTACATTTTAACCGATATAACGATATAAAATTGTATAAATATGCGTACGTTCAACTTCTATCCCGTACCCCCATAACGTTGTGAGCTTAGGCTGATAGCGTTCATTTATTTGCTTTTTATTCTAGAAAACAACGACAGTAATAAACTAATAATGTGTATTCTTGTGTGTTTATTATATTTTATAAATAATAATAATAACAATACAGTTAGTTTGTCACACACAAAAAGTCAAACACAACTGAGCAGACAACTTTGAAGTTTGAAATGAATTCGTCTATTTATACGACACCCAACGCTATAAAATTATTAAATAACGCCCCAGCCCTAGTATTTATTCCTATGTAAATACAGTATGCATATGAACCGAGTGAATTTGTATTGAATTTGTGTTCTAAAAAAAAATGCGGCTAATGAAATTACAGAACAGGACAAAATCTCTTGGACCTGAAATTTACAACAGAACGGGACAAAACCAAATTCAACATTGTTGAACTACCGTGCAATTGTATTTTATTTACATAGCCTTCTTTTCTTCTTGTGTGTGTATTTATATTTAGAAGGCTATGAAACGATCGAAAATAAAATAAAATAATAATATTCAGAAGTATAGATCGACGAATTCACGCTCACAGGTTTAACAGAACATTAGCTCTCGTCTGAGGCCTTGTATTCTATTTCAGGTGACAATAGGAGTAGAACTAGATTATGTACCGAAAACTGATACTGTATTTTGACTATTTTGTATCGGTAAACACGCAGTCCAACAAGCCCCAGTTGTACAAGGGCCAGTCGATGGCGTGTCGTTTGAAATAGCAACGGACGCATCAGACTTAGCCTTAGGAGGAGTATTATATCAGGTTATAAATAACAAACCTAGATATATACAATTCTTTAGTCGAGCAATGAATGCTTCACAGTTGAATTATCCAACTGTTAAACAAGAGCTATTAGCCATAGTGGCAGCTCTAACACACTTCCGAGATTATTTATACGGAACAGCATTTACGCCGATGTGTGATCAGAAATCTCTTCAATATATGAAAGAGATGAAACCCGACTCGCAATTACTGAGTCGCTGGCATGATACAATATCAAAGTTTCATTTTGAAATAAAACATCTGCCAGGTATACATAACCATTTACCGGATATGTTATCACTCTTCGTACCGGACTTTAATAAATCCGTACGTGAGTTACTAGCCACTGACTGGAAGTGTAATCCCAGGTGGTTTGAACTGGCTCAAAAGACATATGGGCCACATACCATAGATATGTTTGCTGCACATCATAATGCACAACTATCGAATTACAGGACTTTAAATCAACCTATGGGAGACGCCTTTCAAATAGACCTCTCCCAACATAATGCGTGGGTTAATCCACCATGGCAGTTAATTGCCCAGCTATTAAATTATGTTCATATACATAAAGCTACCATCACGTTGTGTTGCCCTTTACGGAGTAAAGATCAACAATGATTCAATGCGTGCCAATATATTTAGATAGGGAAGTAGATACTTTCCTATATCAGGGTACCCGAGCCGTCCAGAAGACGCCCTGGAGACATACTATAATATGTCGTATAGGTCCCATTGGAACAACCAAATGGACCCCTTCTGAGACCTTTCTTAACAAGGTCAAATAATCAGAGATTCCACTCTCTACTAGATTGAACGCTAAGTAATTCAAAGGCAACACAGCATTTAAAGTCTGTGCACAAGAAATACAATCTACTAATGACACTGTTAAGAAGCGTCAGTCTCTAGCTAGGACTCTGTTTAATAACATAAAGTCCAAGCCCGAGGTCTTTCAAACCTTAATTTTAAAGGGATTAATGAAAGACAATCCTGAAGCGTATACACGTATAATGTGACTATATAATAAGTCAGGTGTATCTAACGCACATGAGCGCGATTATGACGCTCATGCAAAAACAGGACAGGAGTCTGAAAACACTACAGACTTAGAGACCACGCAAGTGGATTCTCAACACCCTACCTTTATTCTGGAAGGGCAGAATGATAAAATTCTTGTTTGGCTGAAGTAACATCATAAGCTGAAGCACCAGAACGTAGTAGAAGCACTTAAAGATGCTAAGCGACATGGG